CCCTCCAGGGCTCCCAGAGCTCCCCAAACCCCCCCAGCCTCCCCCAAACCTTCCCCCCGCAAAACCAGGACCCCCCCAAAACTTCAGGATCCCCCAAACCCTGGGAACCCCCCCCCCCAAATCCCGGGACTCCCCCCAGACCTCAGGAACTCCCCAAAACCCCCGCCCGGAACCCCCCAGAATCGCCCCCTCCCCACCGAAGGCATCGACGCAGCCCCTCAGAAGCTCGTCCAGGGTGGGGGCTCCGTCCAGGTCCAGGGAGCTGCTCATGGTGGGACCCCAAAACTGGGGAGGGGGTTGGGGGAGGGAGGGGTCAGAGACCGGCCGGGACCCCCCCAAACCGGAGCTGGGGGGTCCCGAGGGTCCCTGGGGCACCCAGGGGTGTTTTGGGGGGGCTGGGAGGGGGCTGGGGGTCTCCCTTAGGTCCCAATTTGTGCAATTTTGGGGGGAGTGGGGGTCCCCAAACCCCCCCCGACCCCCCAAATTTCCCCCCCGGGGTGCTGCACACCCCGATAAGGCGGCGCTTCCTGACCCCCCCCAGTTCCGGAGCGTCCCCGTGCTGGGAGCACTGGGAGGGACTGGGGGATACTGGGGGATACTGGGGGATACTGGGGGATACTGGGGGATACTGGGGGATACTGGGAGCACTGGGAGCACTGGGACCGCGCGACCCCCGCAATGAGGGGGACTGGGAGCGCTGGAGCACGGGATGCTGAAGCAACTGGGAGCACTGGGATGCGGCTATCCCGGGAAACTGGGAGCACTGGGAGCACTGGGAGGGACTGGGAAGGGGCTCAGGGGAGACACTCGGGGGGTCCCGCACCTCCCTCTGACCCTCCCCCACCCCGGGACCCCCCGACACCCCCCAGGACCCCCTGGGACCCCCCAGTCCAGCCCCACCTGCTCCGGCGGCCGCGGCGGGGAGGACAGCGAGGGGCGGAGCCGGAATTTGGGGGTCGGGGGGAGGTTTTGGGGTGCCCCAGGGGGATGTGGCGGGCGGGGCCGGGGTTTGGGGGAGGCCCCGGGCGGTTTTGGGGGTTCCTGGGTGGGGCGAGGGGGGGGAAGTGGTTTGTGGTTCAACAGAAAGGCGGCACCGCCCTGGGGAGGGGGCGAAGACGCCCCCAGACCCTCCGGAGCCCCCCCCAGACTCCCCCAGGGCACCCCAAATTCACCCAAATAACCCCAAATAAAACAACGAGGTTCAGGTGACCCCAGGAGAACGAAAAACACCGAATTTCGGTCGTTTCTCTTTTTTTTTTTTTGTTTTATTATTTTTTTCTCCCTCCTAAACATAATTCCTTTAATTCGTTCCTTTAATTCCTTTAATTCTTTTCTTTCTTTTTAGGGGGGAACCCCCAAATCCCCCCTCCCCAAATCTCCCAGTGATGCCGCAGAGCCCCCCACCCACTTCCCGCAGCGGTGGGGAGGGAGAGGGGAGACCCCCGCCCCAAATAAAATTAAAACCGACCAAAGGAGCCCCAAATGTCGGGAATTCCCCTGTTGGAGGCACAGGGTGGGCTCGAGGTTGTCCTGAGGGGGTTTTGGGGGTCCCGAGAGGATTTTCGGGGGATTCCCGGGGGGGTCCCCCACAATTCTCGGTGGGGGGGGGAGGGGCAGGAATGCTCTGGGGTGAATTTGGGGGATTTTGGGGTGTGGGATTCAGGGGTGACCTGTGCAGGGGAGTTCCGGGGTGGTTCCGGGGGGTCCCGGGGGGTCCCAGGGAGTTCCGGGGGGGGTCCCCGTTATTCCCGGACGTCATCGGGGGCGGGGATGCGCTGCCGGCTGGGCTCGCACCCCCAAATCTCCCGCGCGTACTGAGCGATCGTGCGGTCACTCGAGAACTTTCCGGCGGCCGCCACGTTCCGGATCACGGTCCGGGTCCATTCCCGAGGGTTCTGGGGTGTCCCGGGGGGCGTCAGGGCCGGGGAACCCCCAAATGCACCCCCAGACCCCCGCCAGTCTTCTCCCGGACACCCCCAAACCGCCGCCTGCCCCCCTCCCCCCCCGTGTGAGGTTTTGGGGTCCCCCGTCTGCTCCCAGACCCCCCCCCCAACACCTGAGGACCCCCTCGGTGCTCCCCTTTTCCTCCTCATGGGGTTTTGGGGACCCCCCCAGCACCTCCCTTGGGTTTAGAGACCCCTCCCCACCCTCTCTACGCACCCCCCCGGGGTTTTGGGGAGCCCCCCAAAGCCTCGCCGGGGTTTTGGGGAGGGTCCCTTGGGGGGGGTGGGGTCACTTCGGGGGTCCCTTGGGTGTCACTTCGGGGAGTCCCTTTTGGGGGAATCCCATTTTTTGGGATTTTTTGGGAAATCCCGTTTTTGAGGGTCTCTTTGGGGATCACTTCGGGGGTCTTTCTTTTGGGGGGGGGGTTCCCATTTGGGGAGGGGTCCCCACCTTGTAGAGGGCGCTGACTTTCTCCTGGCACTTCACGTACGCCTCGTAATCCGCGAACACCTTAAACCTGGGGG